TTAATCCATGTTTCATATACTTTTCAGATATGCAGAGCTGATTTCTCTTGTCCATCATGGTTTTCACCTGCCGCTAGGAAATTTATAAAGCGTATTCTCGACCCAAACCCTCTTACCGTAAGTACCTGTTGTTTCTCCCTTTATTTTATTGTTTTATTGTTCTGGAATGTGGTTGAAAGATGAGGCTGGGCATATGATATATTGCTGCACCTGATGCATTAATGTTAATGCATATATTTTTGTTGACTTCTTATTTCTTCTGTTGCAGAGAATAACTATTCCTCAAATTTTAGAGGATGAATGGTTTATTAAAGGATACAAACGACCGCAATTTGATAAGGAAGAGGATGTAAATCTTGATGATATAGATGCTGTTTTTAACGACTCCAAGGTAAGAGATTTAAACCGCAGCTTTTGTTTCAATTCTCTGAGTCAAAATTGTCAGGACAGTAACTTTTACAAAAGACATTGCAATTTATTTAGTTTTTCAAGTGTTAAGATTTGACACTGCAACTGTTTTGTACTTTGTACTCATGAATTTGTAAACTAACAATTTATTTAACTTAAAAGAGGAGTATTGAAGGAATTTTGAAGTGATATTCTTTATTTATTTGTGCATTCTCTTTCAGGAACATCTTGTAACAGAAAGGAAAGAGAAACCTGTATCAATGAATGCTTTTGAGCTAATCTCCAGGGCACAGGGTTTCAGCCTTGAAAATTTGTTTGAGAAGCAGACAGTATGTATACAAGATTTCATAGTTTTTTTTTTTTTTTTTAAATTGTTTGTGGCCAAAATCGGCGCTTACTAATTTTTGGAATGATATATGGCCTTGAAAAAACTTGGGAAATTATAAAAATAATATCACGAGACTCCTGAGATGATTTATTCAGTAAAAAGCTTTTTTAATGGCCATCTATTTCTATTTAATTTTTGGGCTAAATCTACCAAATAATTAATAAAAATCTGAGTAGATTACCTTACCCAAAACCCCCCTTTGCCATTATTTCCATCTTAAAGTAACCCACAAAAAAATTAAATATATATTTATATTATTGCTGGTTGACTGAAATCTCCCTTTGTTTGAAAATTGTAATATTAGGGTTTTGTGAAGCGAGAAACCCGTTTTTCTTCCCAGCGCCCTCCCAATGAAATAATGTCAAAAATAGAGGAAGCTGCAAAGCCTCTAGGCTTCAATGTTCGCAAAGGAAACTATAAGGTCAATTATCTCTTGTTTTTCTCGCAAGTTAATTACTTTGTTCTGTTTGTCTTATATCCAAACCCAATTTAGCTTTTTAGAAGTGTAAGCTTCCATTTCAAATCTGTTTTCTTGGTTCTTTTTTTATTTTATTATTATTTTTTAAATCATTCCAGATGAAGTTGCAAGGCGATAAAAATGGAAGGAAAGGCCAGCTCTCTGTAGCTACAGAGGTAATGAACTGTTTGATTTAGAATGTAGTGTCTTTTAAGTTACATGGAAATTCATTGTTGGTGGGTGAGCAAATGGCTTCTTCGAAAATTGCATGCATAATGTTTAAAAATCTTATCAACTGATATCATTCGAAGTCGTATTTAATTGCTGTGGATAAAAACTATCAGGGTAATTAATTGCTTTTTAAACTTCAGGTGTTTGAAGTAGCTCCCTCCTTGCACATTGTTGAGGTTCGCAAAACTGGCGGTGACACATTAGAGTTTCACACGGCATGTTTACATTTTTAATTTTGGTTTTTATTGGTTGTTATAACAAAATAGTAATAAATACTTTGACTAGCCATGTTGACTGTAGATTAATTTGGTGTTATCATATTGCAGTTCTACAAAAAATTTTCGACAGGACTGAAAGATGTTGTCTGGAAAACTGAAGAAACAACAGAAGAATCGAGAGGTAGTATTTCTCTTTCCCTCCCTATCTTAATCGTAGTATACGTCTAAGCATAATGAACTGACTCTTTTAACTCTGTTTCTGCAGCAGGAAATAAATAGAGACCAAGTAGCTGATTCTTCTGAGTGATTTAGTCTCAAATGCACAAAATTTACAAAAGAGATATAAATTTTGTGGTGGGGTTTAGCGAACTGGAGTTGCATGAGATAGGAAGACATGAACTGAAGGCCTGAAATCGTGGTCTTAGTTAGGTGTTTTTGTCCCCTTACCCTTCTCCCCGTGGTTTCCTCCTCTTCCATGAAGCTAATCAATTAAGTTTTTCAAATAGATTAAAACTCTTTATAAGATGGAAGAAATCATCAATTTTAATGCCAGAAATTGAATTTTTTATTCATTCTTGCTTGCACCCTAAAATAAATAGTATTTCTGATTGAGTCTTTAATTATCATTCCTTGCTTCACCACCACCTCAAATCAAATATATAAATTAATAAAAGGAGAATGACATCTTCCCACCCAAGGTTTGGCGAAACAACACTTTTCCACCTTTCGTTAGGTTCTATTATGTTTTCGTTAATATTTTATTGAAAAGATGAAAATACCGTTAAATATTTGACTTTATAAATTTTTTATTATTTTTTAATTAGTCAAAAAGTCAAATATTAAAATGTCAAAAAAGAAAAAATAGTTAACCTCACCTAAAAAGTTAGGGTTTAAAGTTAAATGACCTAAATATTTATTTATTTATTAATAATGTCATCAATATCCCATCCCTCTTACTCAATAATCTACTAAATTTATAATGTTTTTTATTTTTACTAATTAACTTAGAAAATCAATATTTCTAATTAATTAAATAAACAAAGGAAAAAATATATTTTTATACTTGAATTAATAAATAATCGAGTATAAATTTTAACTTAACTAAATTTTAATTTATAATAAATTAATTAAAAAATAAACTATTTAAAGATATTTTTGTTTTTTCTGTTAAATATTAATAAAAATACTAACAAAACTTGATAAAGGATGGGAAAATGTTATTTTAAAACTTGATGGCTGGAAAAGTGTTGTTTCGCCAGGTTTGGCTGGAAAATGTCGTTCTCCCATTAATAAATAACCGAAGTATGATTTAATAACACAGAAAGACTAACAGCGGCATGGATGTCTCCCTAAGCGACACCGACGTTAAACTTTGAAAAATCCTATACGGAATGTTAACATGTGGCAGTCCCAGACCCAGAGAGCCCATTTGATCATTAATTGCATTAGTTTCTAGTTAGCAGCTCGTCTTATTAACCGATTTGATGTTGGCATCTCACTGATTCTTAGTTAGAGAGCAGAGAGCAGAGCACGTTACATCTTTAAGGATTCTTTAACCTTTGTTTCCATCAAAGCTTTAATTAAAACTCACCAGACAAGTTCAGTTATAAAATTATTTAAATAATTTCTCTGAAATTTATGAAACCTATCGCAAACCTGATGCTCTTAAATTATCAGAGGGAGTTCATGAAATTATCCTTTTTT